TCTTAGTTGTGAGTCCTTCTACTTGTGGCACATGGGACACCACCTTAGCATGGCCTGATGAGCGGTGCCATGTCCGCACCCAGGATCTGAACCAGCAAAACCCTGGGCCGCCGAAGCAGAGTGCACAAACAACCACTCGGCCACGGGGCCGGCCCCTAAGTTTTTTAAGCTCAATATCTATGCACAGTCATTCATGGTTTATGGCAGATTTAAGAATAAAAACATGAAGATAAACTATTCCTCGTGTCCCTATCCCAAGAAAACATATACCTCTGTATCTCCCAAACACCTTAGTGGATCACTAAATTTAAAAAGTATATATTTAAACCAGTGATTCTCAACTAGGGGCAATTTTGTCCCCCATGAAACATCGGACAATGTCCGGAGATTGTCTCAACAGAAGGGAGTGCTACTAGCATCTTGTGGTTAAAGACACAGCAAAACATCCCACAATGCACAGGACAGCTCCCCACACCAAAGAATTATCTGGCCCAAAATGTTACTAAGGCCAAGATTGAGAAACCATAATCTAGAAAAAACCAAAGTAGTATAATATAGAAGCTTTCCCCCCAAAAGTATGTTCCTGCCCCAGTATTCGTGGCCAAATTTGTGTATTTATTGAAGACATAAGAAATAACCAGCTTGATTATTTCAGATGGGAAACTCCTGGTACCATTAAAATTGGGACAGAAGCCCCAATCTAAAAAGAGAGGAAGTGAGGCTTACTTTTCTTTCTATATTTGTGCCACATAAAAATGTTTTTAGGGGCCCACCCGGTGGTGCAGCAGTTAAGTGCGCATGTTCTGCTTCGGTGGTCTGGGGTTCACTGGTTCAGATCCTGGGTGCGGACATGGCACCGCTTGGCATGCCATGCTATGGTAGGCGTCCCATATATAAAGTAGAGGAAGATGGGCACGGATGCGAGCTAAGGCCAGTCTTCCTCAGTAAAAAGAAGGGGGTGGGTGGCAGATGTTAGCTCAGGGCTAATCTTCCTCAAAAAAAAAAAATATACGTTTTTAAGAGCTCCAACCTTTATTTTTTAATTGCACCTCCAATTCATGAAAGCATTATTTATATCACAAAGATAAGTTTCTTACGCCTCACTTCTACCTTACCTTTGTACAAAATATTAAAAAGTTCAAATTTATGTGGTAGGAAAGCACAGTAAATGAGGCCAACTTTTAACAAATATCATTTTTACATATCAAGTTGACAATGATCAAAAGTTTGATAATATACTATGTTGATGAAGCTGTGGAGGAAAAAGCGCACTCAAACACTGTTACCAGTACAACCTTTCTGAATGCAAATTAATAATATCCAAATTAGGGGCCAGTCCAGTGGGCAAGTGGTTAAGTTTGCGTGCTCTGCTTGGGTGGCCAAGAGTTTCGCCGGTTCAGATCCTGGGCACACACATGGCACCACTCATCAGGCCATGCTGAGGCGGCGTCCCACATGCCACAACTAGAAGGATCCACAACCAAAAATACACAACTATGTACCGGAGGGTTTTGGGGAGAAAAAGGAAAAAAGAAAATCTTTAAAAAAATAAAAATAAAAAAAATAATATCCAAATTAAAACTATCCTTTTACTCAACAATTATATCCACTAAAAACTAATGCACATACTCACACGTGCACAAAAATGTGTAAAAGAATAGTCACCGCAGCACTTTTGGTAATAAAAGCTTGGAAATAACACAAGTGTCCAACATTAGGTGGCTAGTTAAATAAATTACAGCATACTCATAGAAGGGAATATCCTGAAGTTTTTAAAACAATGAGGGAAATCTACATGTGCTGTTACAGAACAATCTCCTGGATTGATTAAGCTAAAAATAAGTAAATTAATTAATAATAAGCCACGATATACACATATATATATTTGCATATACATCACAGACTACTGGTGGAAATACACACAAAAAACTAGTAAGAATGACTGCCTCTAGGCAGGAGACTGAAGGCCCAGAGAAGGAGACTTTCACTGGTACTGTTTGAATTTATTTTAATTTTTTATTTTTTTGGTGAGGAAGATTGGCCCAGAGCTAACGACTGTTGCCAATCTTCCTCTTTTTGCTTGAGGAAGACTGTCGCTGAACTAACATCTCTGCCAATCTTCCTCTATTTTGTATGTGGAACGCTGACACAGCATGGCTTGATAAGCAGTGTGTAGGTCCATGCCACGGATCTGAATCTGCGAACCCCAGGCCACCAAAGCAGAGTATGAAAACTTAACTACCTGCCACTGGGCCAGCCCCCTTGAATTTTCTTTTAACATGGGTTTATGCTGGCTCTTTTATTTACTGACTGTAAAACTTAAGTCACAAATTCTCAGCCTCAGTAGTCTCCAATTTGAAATGATAGTAATAATAGCCTAGCTCATTGGTTATTGTGAAGATCAAATGAGACAGCATAAAATACTTTCTAAATTATAAAGCAGCACACAAAATTATAAACTAGTCCTCTGACTGAATTCCAAACCAATTATAACAATTATTATTATTTTTATTCTAATTTCTCTAAACCCAAAGATAGGAATGTTTAAGATGAAATATGAGTGTAGACGCAATCTCACAACACAGATTTTTTTACTTTATGTACAGTTGTTGATTTCAATCTAAAAGAATAAATTTTCAAAAAATTGTCATGTAGAAATGCTAAATCAGCTGATTACAGAAGAAATACATGCTCACTGCTGAAAAGAAGATATATAAAAACTATAACCAGAGGCCGTCCCCGTGGCCGAGTGGTTATGTTCTCGTGCTCCGCTTCGGCGGCCCAGGGTTTCGCCAGTTTGGATCCTGGGCATGGACATGGCACCGCTCATCAGGCCATGCTGAGATGGCATCCCACATGCCACAACTAGAAGGACCCACAACTAAAAATACACGACTATGTACCAGGGGGCTTTGGAGAGAAAAAGGAAAAATAAAATCTTTAAAAAAAAAAACTATAACCATACTATTATAAAATCTTGGTATCTTTTTCTTTCAGTCTTTTTTCTAAATAAAATGTTTCCACTTTACTGAAATATAGCATTCAAATTATAACATTCCTCAGATTATTACAAGCTCTTAATAAACATAATTTTTAACAAAGACATAATATTTTATCTTGTTGAGAGTTCAACCACTTTAAAATGAAATTCCAGTATATGGGTTTGCCTAATGAATTCTGCCTGGATTAACTTTTCATTTATTTCTACCAATTATCCAAGTAACCAGATATCTCTCAATATCTCTCTCACGTGTGCACGCACCATTTTCCTGCTTTTGAGTTCCATAGTTCCAATTTTATTAAGTCCAAAACTCACAAAACAAAGAAGCGTGTGGGGGCCAGCCCCGTGGCCGAGTGGTTAAGTTCACACACTCTACTTCAGCGGGCCAGGATTTCAATGGGTTGGATCCTGGGTGCACACATGGCACCGCTCAGCAAGACATGCTGAGGCAGCGTCCCACATAGCAGAGCCAGAAGGATCTACAACTAGAATAAAGAACTGTGAACTGGGGGCTTTGGAAAGAAGGAAAAAAAAAAAAAGCAGCATATAAAGTGTCTTTATAATTCCTCTAAGAGCAAGCAAAACACCTTAGATTGAGCCCTTATATCAGACTATAGTGAGAGTAGAGATTAGAACTATGATTCATTGCTAAACAAAGATGTTCAATCTTTTTCTACTACATGTTAGTCTGTTATTTTTTGTCTGGAAATAGAGCGAAAACAAAGGATATACTCTTAGATTATTCCTGGGAGATTCTCTATTGGATATACCCAACTGTTCCTAATTAATTTTAACTATGACAACTCCTCCCAAATGCTGAGCATTCCAGCCATTTTTGAGAATGGTTAGATATGTCTCAAGGAAACATGGATTTCCTGAGTATACTGGAACATAATTGCAGGCAAAAATATATCTATCATTTTTGTGCCTTTCCCATAGTAGGAAGTAAAATGTCATGTTGAATAAATAATCCTTTTCTGCTTCCAAGAACACATTGTAATTTTCATACTCAGCCCTACACTTACTGTCATGACTGTTAAACCAGACCATTGAGGTGAAACATTTATTAACACACATCATGTACTTTTTTTAATGAAAAGGAAACTAAACACAAGAAACTGTGAAATTATGGGAGACTTTTCCCCCAATTTCCAAATCTTCTGTAATGCAGCTCTATCACTCTTGCAATTTAAAAAAAAAAAGCATTAAAAGTACTCTTATAGTATTTATTGTTTTAGAACATATACTAAGATTTTTTTAAATTTAGCCTCATTCTAAGGGCTTTCTTTATTATTAAGAAAAGAATCCCTGGGCAAGCCCCGTGGCACAGTGGTTAAGTTTGGCATGCTCTGCTTCGGTGGCCCAGGTTCGCAGGTTAGGATCCTGGGCACAGACCCACACCACTCATCAGCCGTGCTGTGGTGGCAACTCACATATAAAGGGGAGGAAGACTGGCACAGATGTTAGCTCAGGGCTAATCTTCCTCAAGCAAAAAAGCGGAATCCTTGCTAAATTAAAACAAGAAAACTTCAGCATAAAGCTGCTGGAAGATTATTTTAAATACTCATATCATGACATATTTCAATAAAATAAAACCTTTATCATCATCAAGAGCACTACTTACACGCAAACAATTGTATTGTCAAGATACCATGACAGGCACTGGAGATTCAGAGGCCAAAGACATAGCTTCCATCCTCAAGAAGTTTACTACCTAATTAGGACAACAGGGCATATACTGAAAAAGAGAATCAAAAATTCCAGGGAGCACTGGATGTGCCAAGCATCCAGTAGACAGAGAAGTATAGTGAAAGAGCTTTTGAAGTCCTACAGACCTTGGTTCAAATTTTAGATTTACCACTTACTAGCTTATGTAAATTACTTCCCTCATTTGTAAAATGGAGTGTTAGATTAAGTGAAGTAAAATTCCTGGCACAGAGTAACACCCAAAGAGAAGCTAATAGTATTAGTATTAGTATTAGTATTAGGGATACAGGCTTGAGGGAAGAAAAAGGCAACTGGAAAAGTTTAAAAAGTATTAATATCCTTTTTTGTAATCTACCACCATAAGCAAAAATCACAAGATCTTTCTCACTCAAGGTTTATTTCTTATGGACAAGAAGAAAACAGAACATCTAGTGAAGACAACTAAAATTAGAAAACACTAAGGCTACATGGCAAAGTCACTCCTAGATCTACAAATCATAGAACATGATCCATAAAAAAGAATATTAGTTGGAAAGGTCCTTAAACCAGCTACTAGAATGTAAGCTTCATGTTTTGTTTGTCTCCAAACTCCAAGAATTGTTATCTATTTTGTTCATTAGTAGAGCCTCAGTACCTAGAATAATGCCTAGCATAGCACACGGTGAATGCTCAACAAATATTTATTGAATGAATATTAGAGCTAAGAAAACTGAGGCCTGGAGACTTAAGGCAGCACCATCCAGTTAGCTGGGGCTGAACTAAGGTTTCATTTCTCTAGTGTTCTATCCTCTCTACAAGCTAGAATATGATAATTTAGATAATTTACTTTGGTGGTTGGGGAGTTGGAGGGTTGTTTGGCAGGCAGAGGAAGAGGAAGGAAGGAGCAAATTGAAATATTCTCACATTTTCCCCCCAACTGTCAGTTTTGCTTAATTGATAAGAGCAAAAAATTATAAATAAGACAATCCCAGCACAGTGCCTAGCACTTAACAAGTATCTGTTCAAGGAATGAACCTACTCCAAAACCATCATTATCTCATGACCAAAGGCAGAAACTAACCTCAGCATCTGTTTAATCTTTCTAACTGTCAGAGTGCCCTTTAGAATTTTCAGTCATTCCTAAGGCAAAGTTCTTAATCACCTTCTTCCAGACGGGCACTGAGGGAGAGAGATGAATTAAAAGGTGTCCCTGCCCTGGAGGATCTCTCACTTGAGTATGCCTATGGGGGGGGGGGTGGGGGGGGGGTGCAAGGGTGACAAAAACAGATCAATAATGAATGTGAAACCAGGCTCCATTATCATCTCAGTTTATTTGCCTCAAGCAGTGAAAAAATGAAGTTAAAAAAACACAAACGAGCAAAGTTTTAAAATAACGAGGCATATTAGGGTATATTAACACTTAAGAAAGGTTCCTTCTCCTGTGCCTTCACAATAGATCTTATTTCCTCTTAATGTCCTAAAATAAAAATATTCTAAGTTGACTTATTTGAATTATTGATATAAATGAACCATCAATGTATCTTCTCTCATATGTGAGACATTTAAGGATAATATTCCTGATTCATTACTCTGCATACATGTTGATATTTAAATATATAACCACAAGAACATATTTAAATTTATTTAACTGTCTATAAAACTGACAGAGCCTGAAAAAATCTTCAGAGATAAATAACAGTAATTAGAAACTAAAAACACAGTATTACCCAGGAAGAGAACTTACCCACACAACTAAAAAAGCAAACCTACAGAAGTCTTCAAAAGAACAAAATCCTCAAGAAGGGAAAACTCCTGCCCCAACTGGCCCACGGAGCCAGATAGCGCGCCTGCCAACAGCATCTTATTGAATGCAAGTCACTAACTGGACTCACAAAAAGTGAACACCCGAAGGTCAGTGTTGCCATTTCTCAAACCTGAGTTTCAGGAAGACCCTTCCAAAGAGATCCCCCACCACATTCCAAGGATTCCTCCCCATATCTGCTTGTCAAACTAGGATAAGCAACACCAAATACACTGGGAAATAAGCAGACTCCACTCCCGAGTGTGACAATTCCCGCACAGTGAAGTTACTTATCGCACCCGGGGCGCATGGCTCCCGGGAGAACACTCCTCACTCAGCCTCTGCATCCCAGAGAGCTGGCAAACCGCCCCAAAGCCCCTCCATCCCAACAGCCTCCCGAAAACTCTACGGCCCGCAGGTATACCCTGTCCCACTGTTCAAGCCTTCAAAAGCACCGACAAATCCAGGCCAAGGAGACTAGAGGGGGCAGGGAGACACTCCAAGGCAGGCCGGAAGGTTGCGGTGGGCCCGACGGGGAAGTACAGGGCCACCAGCTGTGGGGAAAACAGGATGAGAAAGCGAGGTGGGGCGAGTCTGGGTGCGTGCAGGGACTGACAGGTGCAGGGCACCTTATCGTCCTGGGCAGCACGGGAAGACGGGAACTGGCTTTCTTCACGGAGAGCGAGCAACGAGGCGCCCAGGGCGAGCGGTGCGGAGAGGTTTTCTGGGAACAGGGACTGGCCTCCGAAGGCAGCCGAAAGCCCAGAGCAAAGACCCTGAGAACATTTTGGTGAAGATCCCCCGGACGAGCGGTCCACGGCCGTTCCCAGCACCAACACGGGGGGAACCATCGCACCTGTTCCAGGATGTCTCCCTGTTATCCGCTGGGACAGCGAGGAAGTGAAAGTCCACGGGTGGGCGTGAAAGCAAACTCGAGAAGGAAAAAACTAACCGGGGTCTGACCAGGAGGGGGGAAGAGGCTACCCTCGGGAAGGGGCTAGCAGGGTAAGTACTTGGGTGGGCGAGGCTCACTTGGAAGAGGCGCCGGCTGGAGGCAACTGCTGGGGAAGGGAGGGCTTTCGCTGGACTCCAGGGGGGAAAGGCCGGTTCAGACAGGAAAGCGCGGCTCAGAGGGGGCCCCGAGTGCCGCTCGGAAGGTGACTCTGCCCGGGGCGGGGCGCGCAGCCGGCCGGAGGGCGAGCCTAGCGCCGGGCGAGGGCTGACCGGGGGGCGAGGCTGCCGCGCGCGAGCTCCACAGCTCACCTGGGGCGCGCCGGGCCTGGAGGAGGAAACTTCCTGGGGGGACACGCAGGGGAGGGAGAGGGGCCGGCCGGCGGCGGCGCTGGGAGCAGGGGCCGGGGGACGCGCGGCGCGGGGCTGGGCTGGGCTGGGCTGGACTGGACTAGGCTGGACTGGGCGGGGCCGGGCCGGGGGAGCCCCCGACCCGGGGCGGGGTCGCGGCCGCAGCGGCGCAGCTGCCGGCTCGGGATGGCGCCGTCCCTCAGTCACACACGCGCGCGCCCGCCGGGCCGAGAGAAACCGCCCGGGTCGGTGAGCCGCAGGGACGGGGGGGAGGGGAAGAGGGAGGGGAAGGGGAAGGGGGGGGAGGAGGCCGGGGACAGCGGCCGAGCGAGCCCCGCGGACGGGCGGCCGGCGTTACCTGTGTCAGGGAGAGCTGGGCCGCCGCAGCCATGGTGTTTCCATCATGCACGGCAGGGGAAGGAAGGACTGGCGGACGGGGGCTCGGGGCGGGGAGGGGGCGGAGGGAGCGGCCGGAGGCGAGCCCGGGCGGCGGGCGGGCGTCTCCCCTAACTTCGACAACTTCCCTCCTCTCGCCCGCCCCGCCTCGCCTCGCCCCTCCTGGCCCCGCCCGCCCGGCGCAGGCCGCGGCGGCACCCAAATTCTGGCGCCGGAGTTTCCGCCGCCGGACCGGAGCCTGCCGCCGGCGGCTGCCTGGGAAAACCCGGCGCGGACATAAAATTAAGGCGGACGGGCTGCGGAGGCGATTCTAGATTGTCCTATGAACTCTAGGCAGGTCACCTACCTACTCTAAGCTTCTGCTTCTGCAAAATAGGGGAAATTTTACCCAAAGTCCAGGTTGCTTATAAGGACTAAATGAGATAATGATAGAAAATAATAACAGGACTTTATATATGCTAGGCTCTGTGCTAGACGCTTTATTTTTGAATTGTATGAATGGAAGCATCTGAGACCCAAAGAAGCTGTACAAATGGGGAAACCGAAACACAAATGAGGTCATACAGCTTATTAGATAGCCGGATTAGAATCCAGGTCTGACTCCAAAACCTTTCACTTAACCATCTGCTATTGGGGTGTGATATTGAAAAAGAAGTCATTCCCTCCAGTAGCCAAAAATCTAGGTGGGAGAGGAAAGAAATACTTTCCTTGCCTGCTACACTTAGATTGTTCAATAAAAGAGCACTGGGACCTGCTCAGGTGCCTACAGCACTCCTAACTCCTCCCACAATCCTTCTGGCAAACTCCTCCTACTTTTTCAGGACACAACTCAAATATCATTCCCTTTGCAAAGCATCTCCCGACCTCCCCACGTCAGAGTTACACACTCTCCTCTTCTTTTTAACATTTCTTCTCTACCTTCTGAAATCATTATCACCCTGACTGTTTACATCTGTCTACCCCTCTAGACTGAGAGCTCCTCAATGGCAAGGACTGTTTCTGATGTATTTCTATAGCCTCAGCCCCTAGCATGTATCATGTACACAGCAAAGGCCTTAGCTCCTGCCTGTGTTAAACATAACACAGCCGACACTTTCTCATGCTGCCTTCTTCAATTGCAATAAGCAAACAGTTACTTGAAACTCTCATCTCTACAGGTGTGGCGTAGATGCCACCTACTTCAAGGAGGCTTCCAGGAACTCCCTCTTCACCTCTTAGTTGTTCAGATATGATCCTTATTATACTCTGCCTCTTTTTAAGAGTTAGTTGAGAGCTTTTCTGTCCCCCACTACACTGTGAAATCCTTGCGGACAGGGGGATGACTCCTTACTACATCCTCACAGTTTAGACTAGCAGAGAGTAGTCTTCAGTACATGTTTTTTCCCAGACTGCTCTTCCTTTCTCAGTCATGACAGCTTCCCACGACAACAAACCACAGCTCTATCAGGCCCACACCCCCGTTGCCATTATCATAGCAGTCCCTATTTGACGTCCCACGAGGGCCAACTGAACAAGGCTCTACGACCTTTGCCAGCACAGGCAAACCATCCCAGAAATGCCTCCAGAACCCCTTGACCCTACTCAGATCCCTTTTTACAAGGTCCAGACACTCAGGTCTGGTAAGCAACCACTTATTCAAGAGAGTCTCCCTTGGCGTCTTTCTGCTGGTATTCTTTTTAACTCAAGGGAGGAGGGGAGATACTGTTTTAAATGATTCCACCTTGGTATATTTATCAGCTGTGACCGCAACTGATGTTTCTACTTGAATTTTCTGGTTTACGTTATCACATTTGAGCTTCACAACTCTGAAAGGTAGTAATCACCATACCCACTTTACAGATGATATAACTGAAGGTCGCAGAGGTTAAGTGGTTTGCCCAAGGTTATATGGCTTATAAACAAAGTGGTAGAGTGTAGTGGAATAAACAAGGCTTGGACATCAAAAACATCCAGGTTCTAATCCTGGCTCTACTAGCCGTACAACCTTAGGTTTGTTGTGAGGATGAATGAGATGACATATATGAAAATACCTAAAGATATAGATACACAAAGTTAGTTAAGAAATCTGAAAGTAATGGAATAAATTGCTAATGGGAGTACAAATTCACTTGCTATTCAACGAGACTTTTCCAAAACATACGAGATATAAGATATTACTCTTGGGTGAATATAGTGGAGTCCCTGGTGTACAGAGTTTCCTAGAAAGGCAGTGTGGGGTAGTAAGGAGAATATTGGAGTCACTTAGCGTATGACCTCAGACAAACCGTTTAACCCGTGTGAGCCTCAGTTTCTCATGTATAAAAATGAACAAATCAATGTGAAAAAGGTTGAGTAAGTATAAGGAATTGTTACGGTTATAATTATTGTGTGATATATATTAAGTCAAAAACAACATGTATTTATACAGTATTGCTTTTCACAATTTATAAATGTTTTTACATACAACATCTAGCACAACTTCTGGAGTCAAATAGGTACATGATGAAAGTTTGTTGAACTGAACTGTATAGTCTCAGGTATAGTTATTATTTGGATCCCCGTTTTATCCCCATTTCACAGATAAGAAAACCAAGGAACAAATATTTTATAAATAATTTGTTTAAGTAAGGGGCACTTAAAGCAAGTTTGGGCCTTAGTTAAAATAATAACGATGATCAGACCCCTCAGCAAGAGAAGACTTGCTAACAATCATTATATGGGAATTGCCCCAGGTCCCCTTCCAGACCACCAATAATTTGTACTGGCTTCTTTCTCTACTCATTGGTTCTGGTTTAAATTAAAAACTTGATGGAGCTGGCCCGGTGGTGCAGCAGTTAAGTTTGTGCACTCTGCTTCAGCCGCCCGGGGTTTACTGGTTCGGATCCTGGGCACAGACCTACCACCGCTTATCAAGCCACGCTGTGGCAGGCGTCCCACATATAAAGTAGAGGAAGATGGGCACAGACGTTAGCTCAGGGCTAATCTTCCTCAAAGATAAATAAATAAAAAATAAAAAAACTTGACTTGTAGTGTGGGGATAGGAGTGATGGTCTAAACGCCCAAAAAGGCCTAGAACGTCTGGGACTGAATTTTTTTTTAATGACACACCAGTGACAGATTGCAAATGCGTGTCCCAGATCTCATCAAAGCACTGGGTCATATCGCAAATCTATTTTAGGAGAGTAAAATGTAGCTAATGAAAGATATGTTATGATCTAATTCATTAACAAGAATGAGCTTCATGGAGCAGACAAAAAGGACTTACCTGTTTTTGTAGGGCAATTTAATGTCTCTGGGTCTCTAAGCCTCATATTCCTCATGTGTACGTTGGAGATGATAATACCTACCTTGTAGGGATAGTGTAAGGACTAGAAATCATGCATAAATGTCCCATCAAAGAGCCTGGGCTAGATTAGATGTTCAATAAGTGGTAGCTATAAGGATACCATTCTTCTAGATCACCATTTAACTCGCTACCTCTCAGACAACTCTCCAGTTACTGAGTCAGTTGTGCAGATACACTGGCTAGGAGAAAGGAGTGTCTTGAAGAGCTGACACGCATATCCCTGTAATTGGAAAGTAGGTGTTCCCTAGGTAAATCAAGTTGTATCTAATGACTTAAATCTGGATACTGATAACCAACAATTGCTGCTTTCATATACGTTATTTCACTTAATCCTCATGACAACCCTACAGGGATTATTATCTTTTTTTTTTTTTTTTTTGAGGAAGATTAGCCCTGAGCTAACTGCTGCCAATCCTCCTCTTTTCCCTGAGGAACACTGGCCCTGAGCTAACATCCATGCCCATCTTCCTCTACTTTATATGTGGGACTCCTAGCACGGCATGGTGTGCCAAGCGGTGCCACGTTTACACCCAGGATCCGAACCGGCAAACCCCAGGCCGCCAAAGCAGAACGTGCGCACTTAACCGCTGTGCCACCAGGCCGGCCCCTCAATTTTGTTTTATAGAAGAGGAATTTGTCCAAATTCACAGTGACTAGGTTTGGAATTGTACACAGATCTGACTCAAATGTGTTTTTCCCCAGAGCTTGTTGCTGGAGTCCTCCAGGCATTGATCACCCCCAAGAAGACTTGATAAAATGATGCTTTGGACCATGGACAGCTGAAGATGAGGCTCTGGATTTATAATCCCCCTAAACGCAAGATGATCTTGCAGGGGAGAGCTTAGATCATGAACAGCTTTGTCAATAGCCTGTCTTTCCATCTTTCTATCTTGCTCTAACTCCCACTCCCTCTCCCCAACCCACCCTTACGGGAAACCACAGCTACTTTTATTTCTTTATTTTCCAACTTTTGGAGGTGACTGTCATATCAGCTCTTTATGAACACTACGTGTCTGTGATGTCAACATTTGGAAATGTAGGATGATTAATTGAAACTATGAAAAAAAAAAAAAACTGTGGGGAGCTCTCTGAATATACAAAGAACCAGTTTATTTGCGTGAGACTTTGAGAAAGGCCTTCCAAATAAATGGTGCTAAGCTACCAAAAAAAAAAACAAAATGATACTACAATTGTAATGGTAATCTGGAGCTCATGCTTCTAAGCTGCTGGTTTCATAAATATAGCCCATTATTGTTCATGTTTGCCCAGGGCAGAAAGAATATGTGAGGCTGCACAATAATAACAATTGTGCTACACAAATAACTGTCCCTGTGCCAGGGACCGAAAAGAACAAGCAGTAAGAGATTTTTAAATGCCACACACACCCAGGATGTGATAGGACAGTTCAAAATTGTTGTCATCGCTAATCTTTTAGGACAACAGGGTGCCTTGGTAAGAGCCTGAATTTACAATGGGGAAGGCCCAGCTTGGTCCAGTCTGGGCTCTGCAACTTCCTGGTTTTGTGACCTTGGACAAGTCACTGAACTATACCAAGCCATGGTTTCTTCTCCTATAAACTGAAGGTAATAATAGCACCTACCTGATAATACTATTGTGATGATTAAATGAGGTTTCATGTGAAAGCAGTTAGCCTGATACCTGACACACAGCAGATACTAGATAAGCATTAACTCCCTTTTTTCCCCACTGGAGAATATTTAGGACTAAGAAGCCAGAAACAAAACAGAAATCATTTTTAAAGATCTTCGCTGGTTTTCCAAAGCCTACCTTAATGGTTTTTTGAATAAAGTTTATTCACTCATTAGTAATATTTATTGAGCACTATGGAGTAAGGGAGGTGGGGTTTTTTGGGGGGTTTTTTTGAGAAAGATTGGCCCTGAGCTAACTGCTGCCAATCCTCCTCTTTTCACTGAGGAAGACTGGCCCTGAGCTAACATCTGTACCCATCTTCCTCTACTTTGTGTATGGGACGCCTGCCACAGCATGGCTTGCCAAGCGGTGCCACGTCCGCACCCAAGATCTGAACTGGCAAACCCCAGGCCACCGAAGCGGAACGTGCGCACTTAACCTCTGCGCCACCCAGCCAGCCCATAGAGTAAGGGAGGTTATTAGGTTTATGGCCCAAACATTCCACTGGCTTCTAGTGAGCAAGCAAATGCAGTTTTACACTTGTCCTATTTTCTTCCTTTTTCCTTTTCTTTTTTTTTTTCTTTCCTTATGAAGGGTCCTGGAAGCTATAAGAAACCAAAGGATCACCATGGGAAAGAAAATATTTGCACTCGAGGCTGCAGGTCCTTTCATCTGCAGATTTCAAAGCATTGTCTCCATCACTAATTACTAGCCCTGCTTAACATGTGGGAATGCTGAGACACCATCGAATTAAGAAGCTTGCCCTAAATCACAAGGCAAGTCAGCGGATGGGCTACAGACAGAACAAAGCTGTCCTGTTTGCCAGCCCTGGGCTCTAAAGTAGGGCACATGAGAGTCAACAGAGGATTCGAGCAATGAGGAGGAAAGTTTGGGGAATTCTGATTCTGTATCTTTGAATCATTGCAGTGACAAGACCATGGGCTTGAGTGTCGAACTTGACTTCAAATCTCAGCTCAGCGACTTACTGACTGTGTAACCTCAGTCAAATCATAAATTACTTTAGTTTCCTTCTCTGTAAAATGGGGATATTAATTTTTACTTCTAAGAGTTTGGGGAAGGTTAAATGATGCAACTTTTGTGAAAGAACCTAGCACAGTGACCTGCGCTTAGCAAGTTGTGTAGTTGGAGAAAACCGAGACACTCCACAGCCACACATAATGTCAAATAGACAACTCTTTCAGCCAAAGATTTTCTATGCCATAATCACAGTTGTGTCTCAGTTTAAAACGATGACTGTATTGACCATCTCATAACACAAATAGAGGGTGGCTTGTTCAGGCGTTCATCGCTTTTCTTCCTTGATTCTGTGCTTTCTTTCATAGCCCAAGTCCAATCTATCAGCAAGTTTTGTTGGCTCAACCCCTGATATATATCCAAAATTCCATTCTATTTTCAAAATACATTCCAGATCTGACTATTTCTCGCTATCTTCACTACCACCGTTGCTTCTCTCCTGGACCACTGCGAAAGCTCCTAACTATCCTCCCAAATTCTGTGGTTGCACCTACGTCTGTTCTTCTTATCATAGACAGAGTGATCTTTTCAAACACAAATCGGATCTTGTCATTTCCCTGTTTAAAACCCTGCAGGGACTTCTCATCAAACTCCTCACCATCACCTACAATGGGGCCAGGTCTTCCAGGTAAAGTGTGTCAGCAAAGCACAGAAGAGCCTTATGTTCTGGGCATGTTGAGCTATTTAGTGAGATGGAGCATGGTGGGGCAGGGACAGGAAGGAACTAGCAGGGAAGGATGGAGGAAGTGTTAGGAAATACCCAGAGGCAATCATGGCTGGGCCAGAAGAGGCTTAGATTAGTGTGCCTGTCTGGAAATTTTCAGAGATGCAAAATCACTGCTGGAAGCAAAGAGGACCATTATTGTTTTGTGTTGATGGCATTTGCAAATCTAGTGGCCCTGATTTTTTTTTTTAATTTTTTTGAGGAAGATTAGCCCTGAGCTAATGTCTGCCGCCAATCCTGCTCTTTTTGCTGAGGAAGACTGGCCCTGAGCTAACATCTGTGCCCATCTTCCTCTACTTTATATGTGGAATGCCCGCCACAGCATGGCTTGATGAGTGGTCCGTAGGTCCGCACCCAGGATCCGAATCTGCAAACCCCCGGCCGCCGAAGAGGAGCGCGCCAACTTAACTGCTATGCCACTGGGTAGGCCCCAGGCCGTGATTTTTAAAAAAGCACAGTCAGGAATCTATTTTGTCCTCTCAAAAGGTTTATAGACCAGGACCCCTAACATCAGGACAGTCGTTAAGAGGATGGGCTTTGGAATCAGACAAATTTGAAATAGAATCAAGGTCCTCCACTTATAAACTATAACGCCATGGACTAGTTATTAAAAGTCTTTGAGTCTCAGTTTTCTGCAAACTACATCAGAGTGATTAAGAAAATTAAATGGAGAATGCTTAGAAAGCACTTTTCCCAGTGTCTGGCACATGGGAAGAAGTGCTCAACAAATGGGGACAATCACATTATAATTATGACAATGATGAGTAAGGATTTGGCTATCTTTATAACTGCCGCATGTTCACTAGCTTTACTAGTAAACATTATCTGTGTCTCACCCCTAACAGAGATTTGAAGAAAATCTGTCAAATTTTATTTTATTTTATCTTTATTTTTTTTGGTGAGGAAAATTGGCCCTGAGCTAACATCTGTTGCCAATCTTCCTCTTTTTGCTTGAGGAAGATTGTCGCTATGCTAACATCTGTGCCAATCTTCCTCTATTTTATGTGGCACACTGCCATAGTGTGGCTTGATGAGCAGTGCTAGGTCCACGCCCAGGATCCAAAGCTGCGGACCCCAGGCCACCAAAGCAGAGCACACGAACTTAACCACTACCCCACTCCCTGGCCCCCTAAATCTGTCAAATTTTAAATGTCTGAGGAGACTGTCCGAATTCACAGCAACATTTGGCACTGAAAGTTACAAAACAGGGGCACTTGCTCTGGAGGCACTATCCACTTTATCCCCTAGTCCAGCAAATCCAAGTAGATAAATAGAAGAGTAGCGTCATGTTTGTGTTTAACTATATATGAAAGTAATTATGCACACTCAGTACTCAGTGTTTAAAGAAAGGGGTTTTTGTTGTTATTTTCAATATTGTCTCTATATGCAAGCTAAGGATTTCAGCTGATGCTCAACTGAAGAAGCAAGGATTTGACCTAAGGCTGAAGAAGAAATTGGCTGTATTGAGTTTATGCAGACACAATGTGTCTCTGTATTATACTGAATAACTTCAAGAATTTTTCAGGGATAATTTTGACAATATACAATTTTTGCCTTACAGCCCATCAAGCTTAACCTCAAGTAAGATACAACCATTCTTTTTCAAAATTATACATTGTAAGTAGGTAAGATGAAGTAAGTAAATGGTTAAAAGCATGGATTTAGTGTCAAAAAGATTTGGGTTCAAATCCTAGCTCTGCCCCTGGGAACCTAGGAAAGTGACATAACAGCTCTGTCCTTTATGTGTGAAATGAGGATGCTAATCTTCACTGAGCAGTTGTAAGGATGAAGTCATGGTACTTTATATAAAGTTCTTAGCACCATGCTAAGTGTACAACAAACATTCAAAGAGCTTTTTTTTTTTTGTAGTTTGTTACATCAAAATGTAGTGGAGTATAGAAAATCCTCAACATTGAAGAATTGAATTCAAGAAAACCAATTGTTTTTGAAAGGCTATAGATCTGAAATTCTATATAAAACAAATTATCCCTATAATTAAAGGTCCACCCAAAGGCTGCTGTGAAGAAATTTTATTATTATATAACAGAGAAGATTCTGATTAGAACTTCAACAATGCGTTAGTTATCTCAGTTCCATAATGGAACACTGAACAACATCCCGCAACTCCTAGCCTAGTGCGCTTATTTTCAGACTACTCATTAGGACTCACGAGGACAAGTTTAGTGAAGAATGGGACTTATAAACAGCAGAGCAATGGGCTTCTTCCCATTCGTTCATTCAGCAAGTAACTTTTTAGTCCATACTATGCCCCAAGCACTCTGCAAGGCAGGGGAGTCACAAAAGTGAAAAAGACGTGGCCCCCACCATCAAGGAGCACAAAGTCGAGAGAGGAAGACAGACGTGTCAAATGGCAATTATAAATGCAATGGAATCAAGTTAAAAGAATAAGATCCCAGTGATGTGGAAACACTGGAGAAATACAGCATCTGCACTATGGGATAAGCGGAGGCTTCCTAGTAGAAGCTGAGACCTGAAGCATGGGTGGAAATCACCTTGGTGAAGCAAGGGATGGAGGATGGATGGAGAAGGGAGTGATTCAGGCAGAGGGAACAATGTGAACAAAGGCCCAGAAGCAAAAGAGAGCAAGGAGCTGGGAAGAGTATCGTAATTCAGTTAGGTTAGATTTTAGCTTATAATGGTACAAGGCTAGGGTAAGATTCAAACTGGCCTCATAAGCTAATAAGAAGTGAAGTCTATTTTAAGGGCAATATGGAGTCGTTGAAGGGTTCCAAAGGAGGGAAATAAAAATCCAAAATTGTGTTTTAGAAAGGTCACTCTCTTCAACATTGTACTGGAGGTTCTAGCCAGGGAAATTAGGCAAGAAAAAGAAATAAAAGGCGTCCAAATTGGAAAGGAAGAAGTAAAACTATCTTTATTCACAGATGAGATTATCTCGTGTACCTAGAAAATCCTAAAGAAACAACAAAAAGCTATTAAGGGGCCGCCCGGTGGCACAGCGGTTAAGTGCACACGTTCCGCTTCAGAGGCCTGGGGTTCGCCGGTCGGATCCTGGGTGTGGACATGGCACCGGGTGGCAAGCCCTGCTGTGGTAGGCATCCCACATATAAAGTAGAGGAAGATGGGCACGGATGTTAGCTCAGGGCCAGTCTTCCTCAGCGAAAAAGAGGAGGATTGGCAGCAGTGAGCTCAGGGCTCATCTTCCTCAAAAAAAAAAAAAAAAGAAAGGAAGAAGTCAGGGAAGTTATCGTGTCCCATAACAAGTGGGATCTTGTAGGCCATTTTAAAGACTTTGCCTTTTACTCTGAATGAGATAGAATGTTACTGGAGGGTTTGGAGCAGAGGAAGAATATGATATAGCTTAGGTTTAAAAAAGATTATTTGGACTATTGTGGGAAAAATAGGTCATAGGTAAACAAGGGCAGAAATCGATAAAA